GGTTCAGCACTATGAGCTGTAGCTGCTCTGGATGTAGGAGTTATTGGTAAGATTTGTCAGAAAATGAGGTCTGGGTCTAAAACTAAGTAATTTTCATCGCAATCTGTACTTGATACTCATGAGCACAATAAAAGCAGCTGAATTCACTTTTACCCATACAGGTATAGTTTAATGGGTTCTTGCCCCTAACCTTGTTTGAAATCAAACACTACTGTTACATATTTTTAAAGGCTGTTAAAGACTTCATATAGCAGCTCTAAAATTGAGCCTCGCACTGTTCTTTAATAAACACTATGGCTGATTTTGAAACACTGCTAGCAGGCTCTATGGCAGGTCCCATGGAGCTTTGTGGAGCCAGAACTTGTAAGCTTTCATGGGGTTCTTATAGCACAATTTCTCAAACATGTCTGCCAACGCACTGTCTGACTCAAACAATCTTGATCTATTGTAACGTGTGACCAGCATGAGTTGTTTTACACTCCTGCTCTTTGCTAAATACAACTTTATGACAATGACCATTGATTTGGGGCTGGTTGCTTCTTTGGAACAGAGCAACAAAAACAGCCAAGGACTACTCTTATCCTTCAGCCCCTCCTCCCGACATGCTTCAGTAAGAGTTATTCAGAGTTTCTCTGAATCAGGTGAAGTGAGGAGATCTGGCATCCCCAGCACTTTAGATTTCAATGTTTCATTGCTTGATATTTTGATTGGCATTAGCCCTTCTGGTAGCCTAGCTCCCATTTAAAAACAAACAAACAAAAACTTCTTAGTACAGAAAAGTGAAAACCCCCATTACAAGGTATACAAGAAAAGCAAGAGAACAAAAAGGTTTGGTTAGAAAATTAAAGTTGTTTGCCATGGCTTGATGGCTTAATCAGTCGATCAATACTATTCACAGGGCAGGCAGGGAAAGCTGTGAGTTGTGATGAAAAATGTATGAGGGGATAAGGGAGACCTGGGAGTAGAAAATTAAAAAGTCAGCCTGTTACATTTGTTCAATATCGGCAGAAAAATTAAAGTGGTTTGAGTGTGTGCATGTCAGGAGGGAGAGCTGGCTGCAATATGTACTGCATAACTGCTAAGGGGTCCCTTCATGAGAGAAACTCTCACATTAATTAAGTTGCTTTCTTAGAGAAAAGATGGATTTTGTAACCTTTAGAATTTACAAGCCACGTGGGAATAGGAGGGGGTTTGCACATGAGACCGAAAAGGAGATCTCTTAACAATAGGCATCCTAGCGAAGGCTGAACAGCCGTGTGCTCTGACCCAGGATAAAGCGATATTGAGGTAACAACAGGCACCATAGGCAGTTTATTTTCTTTGTGGTATCAGGTTAGACTAATGAATCAGTGTACTACAGTCTGAATGCTAGAACAATGCTGCTTCATAAGACACAAGCTGTCTTACCTCCGTGACACACCAGCGAAAGCCATTGGAAGCAGAGTTATTTGATTCTGTAGGTAATTTCCACATCTCTCTCCCTCCTGTTGAATTTGACTACCAACCCGTTCTACAATGCAATCTGCCTTGCAGCAATAAGGTGCCATGAAATATGCAGTCCTGACTTCTTTCCAATACTACATACAGGGGGAAATAGCCAACTATTCCTCAGGAGACATGCTCATGATAATTTGTAATATCAATTTCTTTTTGCCTTAAATAACGTGAATGGTTTTGTGAAGGCTGCAACAAACTCAGATTGTGATAAAATGTCGTTACGCAAACTGCAAAAGCCACATCTTGCTGACTTTTCCTTTACCTAGAGCCAAACGAGAGCAAGAACATTCACTGTCTAAGGAGTAAGATGAGTAGATGTAGCAGTGCAAGTTTTCCGCCATAAGAATATAGTTTTGATTCAAATTGAACTGAAGCTTGAATTCCTCAAAATCAAAAGAGTAAACTAGTTTCTCCTTGGTTGAGGAGAGGGGTGGACAAAAGGGCCTCCGCGGGCTGGATCCCTGTTGCTCCCCCACCCCCAGGTCAATTAGGGCCTGGGGAGCATGCAAAGCCTTCTCCCAACCTGCCAGAAGCATGTGGCACTCTAAAGCGCCACGCGCCGCTCGCAGGGTGGGCAGAGAGGGGGACAGAGGAGGATGTAATGTAGATTGTGATGTACTGTCAAGTGCGTCCGGTATTTTTGTTGAAACCATCTGGCAACCCTATATATATTTCTTTCCTTAGAGCCTTATCAATAAAACCTGATTTGACCCATATTTGGCCTGGGGGTGGGAGAGCATGCCAAGCCTCTTCCAGGGCGTGGGTGCCTCTTGGGAAAGGAGGGAGGCAAAGGGGTTCCCCCAATTATGGTCTGGGGGTGGGGAAGCCCAGCCCCTTCCCATTTAGGCCCCGTCCCTTCCTGTTTAGGTAGCCCGAGGCTACTTCAAAAAATTTTGAAGTGGCCCCCGGGCAAAAATTATTGTCCACTCCTGGTTTAGGGGATGCATGACCATGTGGCTAGCAACATGTGAACAAAGACCAATCCACAGTTTTAGGGACACATTCTGAGCTAAGATTATGTGTAATCTAAACTATTGTATTACACACCTTTTTCTATTCCCTCAGTTTATAAATTGGACCAATTTAGATAGTTATATCCCATTCCCACTTAATACAAATATTACAACCAGTAAACTTCACCTCGGGAATTGGCTTTATATTTAGGGTTGCCAGATGTCCGGTTTTGAACCATTGTCCAGTATTTGAGCTTTCTGTTCGGGAAACAAATTAAGAAAATATAAATGAGAAAATATAAACGTCCGGTATTTTCTAAATAAGATGTAATGTAGATTGTGATGTACTGTCAAGTGCGTCCGGTATTTTTGTTGAAACCATCTGGCAACCCTATATATATTTCTTTCCTTAGAGCCTTATCAATAAAACCTGATTTGACAGGTACTACACTAGACCTTTCTGTATGGGAGAATGTTCCCATCTACCTTGGGCAGTTTGGAAGAATTAACCAACTAGATTTGCATTACATGTCCATGACAAGACAATTATTCTTCTGTTCATGTAGCTGCACTGCAATTTTATGACTCGGCACCAGGATGGCCAATTACGGGCTTAAAATTTCAAACTCAATTAACAAACAGACTGCCAAGATCAGTTTTCTGCAACTAATTATCTGTAAATGCCAATATGTTATTTCACTGTGATTTTCCTAAGAACTTTGAGCGTGGTTTTCTATATGTTTATACAAGTATAAATAAAATGGAATAAACAGAACCTGCTGAAAACCACATCAACCTTTTTTTTTTTAAATGAAAAAGCTGACAGCATAAGAAAATTAAGCCCTCTAATTATTCACAGGCAGGGTGCAGTGATGGCAGGACTACTTGTCTATCATACACAATGTTCACTCATCCGGGATGCACACGTCATTCTGTCCAGTATGATCTTCGCACCTTGAATACTAGATGGGTCAGATGATAGAAAGTGAACAGGTTATGTGCAATGGGACCTGTTTTTACTTACCACGTCAACTGTACCTACACTGACAGAGCTTTTAAATCCAATTTGGTAATCTTCTGTTTGGGGTTATTTGTAGAGGTTTGAAGACCAGCTAAAATTTAAAATTCAATGTCATCAATGACATGAAATGTATATTCATGGCTCACAAGTAAGAATGTTGTTGCTTTAAAAGGAATAGCAGGATCACATATGTATATCAACTTTGAAGCCTCTGTGTCCTCTCTCTAAACTGTCTTAACAAGTTTCAGGTATAGAATCACACTAGGAATTGTTAAATTCTAAACTAAACCCCATAAATGTTTAGTCCTTCGCATTAGTAACAGGATTAAGACGGTTTCACTCAGTAGTATAACGATATACAATGACAGCTAGAGCAAGTTACAACCTCTCCATTTTTAAGTTTCTGAGCCTCTTTAAACAGCATCTTGTGTAACTGGATTGTAGAATTAATCCACTGATATCAGTAGTGTGCTTTAAGTTCTTTGTATAAAATGGGTATGTGCAATACTTATTTAATATGGCCACAAAGATGTGGTAACTTTAATCAACAGTCTTTCCTAAAAACAAAGTCCTCAAAGAAATGTTTCACTTTTTAGCAAGAAGCACTCATTACACAACCAAAGGGGCTACAAAAAGGAGTATGGACCATTTTGATTCAACATCAAATCTACTGAAAAATAAGCAATTAACAGAATGATTGCCCTTCATTAGCCTTCCTCCTATTGGCTTTATTAGATATTCAGTACCTACACATCATTTTATACTCTGTACTTTGTGAAGGTAATAAAGGTGCAGCCAAATCTGAATATGGACAGGAACAAAAACAGTGTATAATCCCACAGAAAAGTATGAGACAACCTATACTCAATCAGCATTTATTTGCAACAAGTCCACAATGAGTATTCAGCAAAGACTGAGACAGATTCATGACTTTCAGTTCAGACTTATTACTTATCCTTATCCTATTAGCTGGTAGCAGAAGAGCTCTTATATTCTGTGCTGACTAGTCACTATAGGTGGAAGTGTTACATCTAGCTAGAGTGTTATAGGAAAATACATATGCATAAGTTTTACATTATCACAGTGCTGAATAAGTGTGTGTCTGCACTAAAGAAACTGTAGTAGAAACCTAAATTTATTTTACAATTTTCAGTATTAAAACAGGGCATTTGGATTGGGCACACTAGGACTACTCATCACATATTTTCTAACTGCTCAATGCACGCAGATTTTGCTAACATTTTTTCATTATAATTTTAGTAAAGGGAAACATCTGTTTCTTCTCTCAAAAAAGTACAATCCATCTTCCAAGCTGCCACATGCCTTTGAAATTTCATGTTTATCAACACCGTACTCTGTTCCAGAATAAGAGCAGCAAAGAGAAGCATCCTTGCAAAGAAAAAGAAATCTAATAGCATTTTTAAAAATTGTTCCAGTTTTATAAAAAGTAAGAAACTGGGAAACATACAACTTGATCTGAAAGTGTGTTACCGGGTAACAACGTAAACAACACATAGTCTTTGGATACAAAATAATTTACAGTTCTCAAAAATAAGTTCTCCTCCATTGTGAATTTTGTAGCAAAATGTACATTATATAATGACTTCAGCAGAAATGCCCCAACAGACCATATATGATCTGCCTTTAGCAATAGCTTCCCTCACCTTTTTTTCTTGTGCATTAGATAAAGTATTTAAAAAAAAGTCTCATCAGTACAATGGGCAGAATCTTCTTTTTACTGGCCAAATGAATTGTGCTGATTTACTATTCGATAAGAAAGCTTCAGTAAAGGAAGGAAATGAGTATATTTATGTTCAGAAAGGGAATCAACCAAAGAACCATCAAGATTCTACAGAGCTCATCGGAAGCCCCATTTTGTCCATACGTCCCATCCACTTTCCATTTTGCAAGGTCAGTGACTGGGTTATGCTACTACTGCCTGCAGGTGTCATGAAAAGCTTCAAGTGTTCGGAAATCTCTCCACGTGGGTGGAAGGCCATCCTGCAAAAACTTTCCACAGCGTTGGCATGGAGCCTGGAACAGCTTTATGTAACTTCTTAACCAAGTCTGAAAAGAAAAGCATAGCGAGAAATTAAAGAAACAAGAGATTGATGTTCCCCAATGTTATCATTCCGGTCAAACAAATGATAAGGTACCTTGGCTTGGGCCCATCAAAATATATAGTGATTTTATAGAAATGGAAGAATGCAGAAAAATCAAAAGGTCACAAGACAGCTGATTTTCCATTTTGCAGGTGTCCCTATTCTCTCTCATTAAAGCAATTTTGTAAATAGAAATTCATGCCGTGAAAAGATCTTTGTAGCTAAAGAGTCACCTTGGAAAACCAATACTCCTTACATTCCAACTGACACAGGGTTATGCCTGACCATTCTGATACTTGTACCCCTGTAAACTAGATATTGTTTTCTTTCTTTCAGGTGTTCCTCTACCACACCTCTGCTGTAGTCACAGTGTAGAAACCTGAATTATTAATAGATGAATAGATGAAGACACAGGATATGACTTTCATATCAGGTTAAGTTTTTTTTTCTAATCTGATTGGAAGATAATTCTGTCATCAAATACTATAAAATCTTATATTTTATTACACTGATGCAAAATAAAAAAATACTGTTAAGTGATAAGTAAAAGGGAGTTACTCACCTCGTGCAGTAACGAGTGTTCTTCGAGATGTGTGTCCCTGTGGGTGCTCCACTGTAGGTGAAGGGTTGCCCTGAGCTGCAGATCGGAGCTTTGTATAGCAGTTTCTCCTGTTGAGCCATGCATGCCCAGGAGGCGTCTCGAGCCCTTCCCACCTCCTGAGGAGCGTTACTCAACCCCCTCCCTTTCAGTTCCTCATCTCCGCCTGATAATTTTGACTCCGAGCAGAGGGGAGGTAGGGAGGGTCGTGGAGCACCCACAGGGACACACATCTCGAAGAACACTCGTTACTGCACGAGGTGAGTAACTCCCTTTTCTTCTTCGAGTAGTGTCCCCGTGGGTGCTCCACTGTAGGTGACTACAAAGCAGTATTCAATGTAAGGCTGGAGGGAGCCGGAGTCATTGTTTAGCAGTGGTGG